TTTGCCACTAACATCGAAATCCGGTACAAATCGACTTAGCCGAAACAGCTGACAGACAGACAGAGAGTACACAAGTTCAAACGAGGGTTGCGCCGGTCGCCGCCGCGCACCCACCCGAGCTAGATGGCCCCATAGGACGCCCTCTCCCTCTGGGCTCGGCTCTGGACGCCTCCAGGGCAGCATGGGTAGGCCGGAACCGCGCCACGGTTACGCCGAGGCCGCGCAGCAGAACCGACGGCGATCGTGGCGACGGTGTCTCGACGCTGCACCGGCGCGAGAGGCGGCCATAAGGGCGCCGGCGATGGCAGCGCCGGCCGTGAGGAAGGCGGCCGCGGCCCTGGCGGCTCAGCGAGCTCGGTGGAGCGAGCAGTAACAGCTGAGAGACTGGAGAGTCCGCGTGTGACCTTTGTCGCGATGCAAGTGCCAAAAAGCGTTGTTTGCGGCTATTGCTCAAAATTTCGGGAGAGAAGGCCTACATATTATGAGTGCATGCATCCGTTCGGCGCATGAGAGCTGCGGGACGAGACGTATCACGGTCGATGGCGCCGATGATGACCTCCGGAATGCCCTCGCAATCGCCTCGGATGGGGTCCACCGGAGACAATCTGGAGGCCTCTCGGTGGCATCACCAGACTGTGTGAGCTTGCAGACCCGAGATAAGTGCAGTTCGGGACGGCCCAGGCGTGTTACTGATAGGACTGAGCCAGGAGAGCGGCAGGAACGGCGAGGTGGTGAGCTGAGAGCAGGAAATCGCGCTTCGTGCATCTCGTGGCACGGCATCGCGACAAGGTCGCACGCCCATCATGATCCCAATCGTTATGTAAGAATGTAACTCACATAACGCCATCATCATATCACATTGCGTCTACACCCGCGCCGCCCGACCCGCGCGGGGCGACGCCCACTGACGCCCGACACTGACTGACACACACACACAGTTGCTCGGCCTCGCCCGCCCACCCACCCGCATCTCATCCCAGCCTCGCGCTGGCATCCCCACAGTCCGCAAGGCTGCACCGAGGTGCGGCTCTGCCATTCACTCGCCCCCCTCCCGCCAAGCAGCAACCAAGCGCCGACCGGCTCGGGCGGGCTCATGACAACGGCCACGC